TACCTTTTTCATTCGTATTTGGCACATACATCATACATATCAGTGTGTTTCATAATCAGATCAAAAATGGCCGAATAACGGCTGTTTTTATTTTGGCCATATTACTACAACACGAAACATGTGTTTTGATGTAAATAAACAATCTGTTGTATACGACACTTGGAACTCAAGTTTCAAGGACACGCTCGCGACAACCCTCCGCTTTAATATGATGAGCACAAAGAGAACTTAACGGGGACTGTGTCTGACATTACAAAAATAATGATGAATCTTTTTGACTGTGTCATTTTCAATGACTTGTTCAGATGTAAAACTATTACTGTGTAAAACTATTAAGGTCTGTGGGAAAACTGTCAAAGTCAAAAAGATTCATCATTATTTTTGTTGTTAAATGGTTTTGCTTGTATGCAAACTCCTGATGCAAAGCGATTTCCGCCATGAATTTTTTTTTGCATGATTTGACCTGAAACAATGTCATTCTGACTTACAGGTCAAGTCTGTTTATTGTTTATTATTTTTGAGATTTGAAGTGGAATTTTCCTGAATTCTTTCTAATAATTTGTGCTCTGTGTATTTATTTCAGATATCACAGAAATGGAGAAGATCCTGCCAGCTGTGAGGACTCTGAAGTTGTTAGCGGGATAAAACAATCATTCTAAACAAACAGTCAATAAGAAATTATGACAATCTATATAAGGAGATATCTGTCTTCAATAATGCCATATAAGGAAATATCTGTCCTCACTAATGCCATATAATGGGTAAGCAGCAGTCAGCTGTAGCTCATTGTTGTTTACAAACAAGCCTCTACCCATGAGCCTTTGCGTTTTAAGCGTGTGTTATTATTGACTATTGTCGCTTAGGACTCAATTCTTGCACATATGCAGATGACAACCTTTCTGCTTCAATATGAGATGATCCATTTCGTAAACCCAACTTACCCAGTATGAAATGTATTTCTATTTGTTGAAGATAGTATTTTTGCAGTGTTTAACTCCTTTTTAAAATTCAATGACAACTACTTGCATTCTTGGGGGGGTGGTTCTCAATGACACTGGGGTCGTGTAAAGTACCAGAATGTTTGACCTTTTGGGGTCATGTAAAGTACCAAATTGTGGGACTTTTTGGAGTCACGACAGATTTCCTGTTATTTATGACATTTTAGAGAGTAGAGTTTTAAGCAATATGACTGAAACAACATTCTTTAAATGAACAATTAATTTTAAATTTCTCAAAATCATCATCTTTCAGATTGACTTTTGTGAACAATTTGATCATTTTTAAATTCAATTTTTACTTGTAATCACACTCCTATTTTCATAAATTCAGTTTCACTTTTCTAATTTTCAGAAAAAAAGTTTTTTTATACTGTTTATATATTGTATATTTGTAATTAAAAACTAAATGATTTTTTTAATAATTGCATTTTAAGAAAACCAATTGATTTATTTACATACGATGTAATTAATTTGTCCAATCAGTGGTGATAATGAAGTCTGTTTTAAGATTATTGTTTCTATACAGCATTTATTACAAATAAACAAATTCACCAAAATATTAATATTGTTTGCATTGTAATTACATAAACTTTGAGAATCTATAACTTTTTAAATTATCTTGTTTACAGACATACATACAAAGAAATGCAGAGGTAATAATACCCATCCAGAAAAGGAAATACAAAAAAATAATGTTGCAGTTTATAGCAACTTTTTAATCAAAATATAACGTGTTTTTATGTGTTTTTTTTAGCTCCGCTGTCGACTTTGTCGAGCGGAGCTTACCAGTATCATATTAGTGATTGTCCGTCGACCATGTAAATATCTTACTTTTTCGACTTCTTCTTGAAAACTACAAGCCTGAATGCTTTGATACTTGGTGTATATCCACCTTGGGTAGACCTCTCTTAGATTTGTTCATTTCATGATATCTTCAATTCTCTCATTTTGGTGAATATTTTTCACATTTTTGGTAAAAAGTGATATTTTTGACTTCTTGTTAAAAACCGCAAGTCCTATTTTGTTTTGATATTATACATATAGGCACTACATGTGGACCTCTCTCAGATTTGTTTATTTCATGATATCTTCAATTATCTAATTTTGATGAATATTTTTGTCATTTTTGGTGAAAAGTAATATTTTTCAATTCTTGTTGAAAACAGCAAGTTTCTGTTCTTTATTTGCAATGTGCATTGCTAACAGCGGAGCTATCTCAGCCGACAGGCTGCTTGTTTTTACTGTATTAGATCAAATGGACCTAATTTGCTACGAACTGCAGGTCAATTTTTAATACTTCTAGACATCAAAAAGTACCTTGTAAGATACTATATATCTTTTTTTTTCACTATATGTG